CCATCTCAAAGGACCCCACTTTCAACAATAAACATGAAAATGTAAGGTAGTTTAAAAGGGTTTATTTTGAAGAGGAACATTTGTGTAATACAGTATAGTCATTTAGTACGACTTCACGGATATTGCGTATCGAAGTTATCTTGTATCCCCAGTTATATAAGGGGGAAAATAATGCACCAAACAAAGATTTTAAACAGAGAGGCTAATTCTGATCATGACCTAGAAACTTCGACCAAGGTCACTGCACATCTATTGACCAGTGGAACTCTGTGGGTGAAGTAATAGCCAGACTGGGCCAAGGAGAGAGAAGATATGCTCCGGACAAGGATTTTCATAAAATTCTGCTATGACCGTTAACTTTGACCTAGAAACATGGTTCAGGGTCACTGCAAACCGGTTACCCAAAGGCACTCTGGGTGAAGTATGAGCCAGATTGGGCCAAGGAGAGAGAAGATATGCTCCGGACAAGAGATCTCGGACGGACAGACTAATTACTATAGGGCGCCCGCCAAGCGGGACCCTAACAAACACAAGAGGCCCATGGGCCACATCGCTCACCTGAGAAGCTGTGACTATGCTGTTCTTTACCAGATTTCCCCCTTGAAATGCAATTGTGACCCCCACCTATCCCACTGACCATAATTTGGACAATTTAAAAACTACACTGTTCCAAGAAGCGTCTACATAAGTTTTAGCTTTTCTGGCTCAGTGGTTCTTGAGAAGAATATTTTCATAGATTTTTTCCTATACATTTCTATGTAAAACTTTGATGTCCCATTGTGGTCCCACCCTACCCCCGGGGATCATGATTTGAAAAATTTAGAGTCTACACTACATCAGGATGCTTCCACATAAGTTTCAGCTTCTCTGGCCCAGTGGTTCTTGAGAAGAAGATTTTCAAAGATTTTTCTTATATATTTCTATGTAAAAAAATTGATTCCCCATTGTGGCCCCGCCCTATCCCCGGGGGTCATGATTTGAACAATTTAGAATCAAAACTATCCCAGGATGCTTCCACATAAGTTCTAGCTTTTCTGGCCCATTGGTTCTTGAGAAGAAAATTTTTTAATGACCCCACTTTTTTTTGTCTTTTCTTGATTATCTCCCCTTGTGAGGGGACTAGGCCCTTCAGTTTAAGAATTTAAATTCCTCTTTACCCAACGATGCTTTGTACCAAGTTTGGTCAAAATTGGCCTAGTGGTTCTTTAGAAAAAGTCGAAAATGTGAAAAGCTTACAGACGGACAGACAGACGGACAAAGTGTAATCAGAAAAGCTCAGGTGAGCTAAAAAAGACATGTTTGTGAAACACTGATGGCATCGTATGACAGCTTGTGGCTAGGGTTGAATTCTTTTAAATGCAAATCAAACATTCAAGGTCAAGGTCAAAAGTGTTGGTACCCAAAGGAAGGTCTTTTTACATCTGTGAAATATGAAAGTCCAAGGATCTACCTGTTCAAAAGTTTTGACCATTGAAGGTTTAATTTTTAAAAAGTGGGTACAACTCCCTGCACGGAGTGCAGCGCGAGTTATAGCTTCTGTTTATCTCTGGCAATCGGCTGATATTTTTATTCCAAAGTACTTTTCCATCTTGGCTCCTTTCGTGGTTGTGAATTCTAGTGCTTGACCGATATCGTGGTTGTGAATTCTAGTGCTTGACCGATATCTGCTAGCGCCTTCTTTCTTTACTTTCGTGTTCATACTTTTTTGATTGTTTTTCTTTAGATTAATTTTTTGTGCATAATATAAATAGTTTTGGTTAACTTTTGTTGGTTTTGTATGAAAAACCGATCTGTCAAGGGGAGGATCTGTATATACTAATTTTAGTTTGACATTTCCCCGATTTGTTAATTGTATTTGGTGGCTGGTTATTTTCTATCCGTAGACTCCCAATTAGTTGTTCGAGTGTCAGTGGAAAATGGGCACCTCTGGCCAGGGGTTATTGTCAGTTTTGGTCTCGTTATATGAATGTAATTGAGTGCAGGATGGGGGGGGGGGGTTCGGCCGGACTGACTCCAACCCGGAACCGCCAGCTAACCATGCCGCGCCATGATGACAGGTGAGAGGCCTGCCAAGGATGAGTCTTGATTGAGGTCGTGGGGGGCGTAGAACATGAAGGAGGGAGGACAGCCACATTCGATCGCCTGTGGCCAGATGGCTCATTTGGTAGACCAGAAACTCAGGGGCGAGGGTTCGAGAATCCATGTCGACCTAAATGTTGCTAATATTTAATGACCTATCTCTGTCTAGACTACTATTCTATGATTTACATGTAACTATAAGTTTATCGTGATTTCAATGTTGCCTTGAATAAAACGTGTTTAATTCCACAAACCTATAACATGGTATATTTTTTTCTTTTCATTGTTAAGAGAAAGCATCCAACACGGCAATTTCGTGCAGCTGCATAAGGCATGAGGAACATTTCCAGTTACATTGAGGATTTAAGTAACCGTTTCCACCGTGTGGATGCTAGAAAATAAGGGTAGATGTCATTAAAAGTCTTTACTTATTGCAGCGCCGTCAGATAGAGCTATTTATAAATGTGAAGGGTGTGCTCACTATTGCCTATGTCACATTTAAGCCGATAGTCTGGCGACCAAATTTATCACTTATCGTCGGTAGAAAAATATGATCGCTTGACAGACGTTTCGGGGGACGCGGAGCAGTCACATTAATTCTCAAGAACACCGATAATTTTCTAAAATTTAATAATTCTAAGTCGGTCAACAGTCGCCAGTTCATCCTTCGCTAAGCTACAGTCTGATTTTCAGTGTCTGCCGAAATTTACGAAAACACCTAAATTCCTAAATGTTGACCGACCGACGAGCGACTAAAAAACTGATCGAAGCTTGGTTGACTGACTATTTGACGACTTGCTTCAAATGTAGGTGTTGGCCACCGACGCAGAAAAATTAAAACATGGACCAACAGACACCAAATTGGTCGGCCTAAAAAAATGACTCAAAATCGGGCAAGACAACGGCCCTTAAACAGCCGACTGTCCCCGAAGAATCCTTTTTTTGAAAGGTGACTTTGGATTATGCAGAAAAAAACGAATGTAAAACAAAAACTTATTGGTACAAAATATGTAAAGTATATATAGTGGAATTTCTTGTTTAAAAAAATTAAAAACGTGCAAGGTATTTTTTCCTTTTTTTAAAATTAAATAAGTGTGATTTGATTTTATAAATAAAACCAACATCATCTTTTCCTTGCTATGAAGTATTGGAATAGCGTATTTAAAAAGGAGGAACTGTAAGAGATATCCAACTGTATAAGTACGGAGTACGGAGATTTCATCCTCCATTAGTCAAGACGCAGAGATATTTCTATAATAATAACGTTATCTTTGAACATGACCTGGCGCAGTGGTAAGAGAATAAAGTTTTATTTAGGCATTAGACAACATGATCCGAGGGGCGACGGAATCTTAAGATTGCTTGAGCAGTTATTGGATGCGAAGCCTTACCCTACAAGATCGGTCACTATGTGTTGGAAATTTTCCAAAGTTGCCAAGCTTGTGATGCACACTATTAAAGAAAGGAGGAACTGGCTGAACAATGCCTAAACACTTATCACCAGTTGATGCAAAGCGGTATTTGGGGTAATGGCCATCTTTTTTCAAAGCCAACTTCCTTTCACTTCCAATTTTTTTGGCACACAATTTCCTTGATATCACTATACTGTGGTAAGAAGTGGGGGGGGGGGGGGAACCCTTTAATGTACATTTTAAAAAGTCAAGGTAATGTTGGCAAAAAAAGTGGGGGCCCCTTCTGTTGCTACGTGCCTGGTTAATATGGTGAAATTTCTGTTCAAACTGTTATGGGACGTTAGTTTGTGCAGGTTATAATCCATTATCAATTTTGAAAGAAAATGTGCACGAAACTTCATATGAAATGAAGAAAGATTTATTTATTTATTTTACGAGCTTGCAAAAAGCTTCGATTTTATTCTTTAAATGCGCAACTTTCCTGCAAAAATCAGAGCAATATTTTTTACCAATATTATTGTCTCGGTATTTTTCTTCAAAGTTGTCAGTGAGACTTGGCATTTGCCAGTTGGATTTCACTTTCCATCGATTTTACTAGAGTTTCTGATAACCATTTCCGTCATTTTGTAAACCACTTTTGGACAACCTTACATCACTCAAGTGTTTAAAATCATCTCTTTCAGCGATTAAAAAGCGTGAAACTTAGACAGATCATAACGACAAACAAACGGATATCCGATTTCCGTTTTATTTTCATGAAAGCAAATGGTCAAAAGTATTTAAGACTATAACTCCGTACAAATTACTGCGAAATTGTCTGCTTTAGCAATAAAGTCAGGGTGTTTTAAGGTGTGATTCATGTGTTTGGATCCATCTTGGCCTTTACAAATAGGCGTTCATTTCGAATTTGTTGCCTTCGCTAGATTGGCCCTGGACAGCTCATGAAATTATTCCTTGACAATACCTGGTGAGATCCTCTGTAATAAATAGGGACGTGACTTTGAACTTACTTTAATCGATTATTTAAGAAATGGCACATATTCTAAAAATAGTATTCTGAAAAAAAGAAATTTCATTGCTGAAAAAATGTCAACAGTTTTTTCACCAGAGAGTACGTTGTCTAAAAAAATCACCCAAATATTTCACATACCATTTTGTTTCAATTCTGATTCCATTGCACTATAATGTAAAGTTTCTAGATTGAACTTGTCAGGTTGTCGTTGAAGACCAAATAAAATGCACTCCGTTTTACCTATTACATGAAGAGAAAATTTATTATTAACTAACCATTCTTACCCCGTGGGGATCCGGGTTAGAATAGGTTCTCAGTACCCCCTTGCTTGTCGTAAAAGGCGACTAAATGGGGCGGTCCTTCGGATGAGACCGTATAAACCGAGGCCCCGTGTCACAGCAGGTGTAGCACGATAAAGATCCCTCCCTGCTCAATGGCCCTGAGTGCCGAGCATAGGCCTAAATAGTATTCATTCACGTCATTAACCGTCAGGTGGCGCTGCGGTATTAGAGGTGGTTACGCAAACGTTTGAATTTGTCAAGCGCTTGACTGAGTGTAAACAAATGGTAGCGTGGCGAGACACTGTGGTTTCTCCTGGACATATACCTCCAAATTAATTAATTTGTAACGAATGCCAACTCTCTGTGGTGTGCCAGGATGTTGTAGAGGTCGTGGACACTCATTATTTTCAGATCTAGACATTTGTTTGAGACGAAAAGTGACGCTAAATCGGTCATGAAGATGATCAGCTGATTATCGAAGTTCGGTAAACACGATGTCGCTTGTCACCAGAATTTCAGAGTCGGCGATATCAAGGATTAGATTTTTGGTAAACTATTGATTTTGATTAATTTTTATTAGTATCTTACGAAGTATATGTCATTAAATCATATAGATTTAACAAGAAAAATGAGTTAATATATACAGTATAAAACATATTGACTTGGTGACTTTTTAACTTTGTCTTAAATTGAAAAAAAGTGAACTCTTACTTTATTTTTTTTTCCGTCAAAAGACATTTGAATTATTTATATTAATAGCGTCTTAATAGCTTGGCACATGGCAATATTATTTAATATATTATTTCAAAAGTTTGAAATCTAATTAAAATGTCTAAAGCTTTTGTTGCTTTGTGATTTTGTTGTGAAACAGACAGACGAAGCACTGGTAAATGTAATAGGATTAAATCTGATGAATTTAATGTACAGTGGCAGTTTTCTTCTAAAAATGTACAAATAGATAATATGATGTGCTTATGTCCCCATAGAATTAACTTGATTTGTTAGCAAATGGAATAAGTACTGTAATTTATGATTTTATATCAAAATTCAATGTTAAATTTTATTATACATTTTAAATTTCAACACTAGAAATAATGACTCAGAGATATTTCCCCCCGCTTTATTAGTATGAGTAGGGTCTTTGATTTTCCCTGGGTAAATATTAATTATTTTATATAATATATTACTTTAACTCAATACAATTACAAAACAAAAATAATATTTGCAAAGTTCCTTGTTTACAGGAGATAAAAGTAGACTAAAGAAGGATGCAGTAAACTTGACATCCAGTTTTGGACTTTAAAACTCAAGCAATACAAGTCCTACAGCTCCGTGGCTGCAGTCAAGACAAGAAGAAGGTACAAGACTGAACTGTTCCTCACGAGTTGTGAACTAAAGTGTGCATCAGGAAGTTTAGACCAATACCCCAATGATGACTAGCAGTCACTGTGATGTTTCTTTAAGATCAGCCATATTCTTTGACAAAGAGATGAAAAATTCAGTGCAAGCATTTAAGCTGTTAATCTTTCTCATATTGGTACATATTATAGCTATTAGCATGATTAGGATATTAAGTGAGATGAGCTTAGAAGTAAAAGATGTACAAATTACAGAACACAAGTACATAGTTTTAAAAATTTTTGACACGTTTAATTTCTAGAAAAAATTTTAATAAAAAATTCTTTTTGCTTGCTTTGAAAAAGAATTAAAAATGATAGTACATGTTTTATGAATTCTGTGGAATCTTTTCAGTCATGTTAATTTGTGGGGTTCAATGTTCATGGACAAGAAAAATTGTCCATGGGTAAGGGTATGTTATTTTGTGGATTTTAACTCATTGATAATGTACAATCAATATGTTAACAAAATCCATGGGCAAGGGAGACTCGTCAAATCCACAAACATTGGTTTACAAGAACATTGTACCTGCATGCTCAAATTTAAGTATGAAAGGAATAAACATGTATAAATATTTAATACAATCTTTATTATTTTATTTATTTACAGCCATGAATAAAATCAGCAAAATCCTTAACAGAGAAAAGTTCAAGCTATGGAAAGATACTGTACATGTACATAATTTAGCATTTTCAAAATTTAGCACAATCAATGAATATGGAGTTGTTGGCATAATCATGAATTAGCGCTACAAATATTTGTGTCTTATATTCTATTTATAAATGAATTCTTAGTGTTTTCATGAATATTAGCACATCCTCTTCTGTGCAAAAGCAGCTAAAATATGAAGCCCGCTATTTTAACTACACATACAGTAAATTCCTTTCAATGTCAATTTTTGTACAAAAAAATATTAAAATGTTTAAGTCTCTGCATTCTTTCATTTCACAAATTAATTTCTCTTGCCAGGGATTGTTTGAGTACATCAGCAGCTTCTTTTCTCTTTCAGTTTTTGGTGGAATCCCTTCAAATAAGAATGAGTAGCAATTATTAGTATAGAGTAATAGCATTATCATGACTGTACTTGTTTTTTGGTAAAATAAACTGTCTTTAAATATTTTTAATTTATAAATAAAATTGATCTACTTTTCAAATTAAAATGGAATTATTACTATTGTAATTGTAAGTTTAAGAAAAGCCTGAAGATACTACATACAAGATTATTGTAGTTCATCTATTAGAGAATTTGCCAAGCATGAGCATAACTACCGGTAGTCTGTGTGTGTACAGGCTGAATGTTGCCCCATATTTCCAGCAGAACATTTTCTCTGTGAATGTATAGGACTGCCAAACATCTCAACACTTTGTCTTAGGTTGTAATACACCTAGTGATAATAAAGGGAATACATTTTTTTAAGAATTAAAATTGGAAGCATTGAAGTATTTCTTAGGTATAAATTATGAGTACCTTCTATCATTTAAAAAAACACAAATGCGATTACATACCAGTTCTTTTTTTCCCCTGGCAGCACTGACAATAGGATGGATGCCATTTCATGAGGATGGGGAAAAATAGAATTTTTATGTTACATGTACCATCCAGCCATAATAAAGCTCCCTGTAAGCTTTGACATCTTATTTTACCTGCTGATCTCCTAAATAAAATAAAATGAACAAATATATATTCTTAAATAATTAAAAATTTACCCAATTTACCCAGTATAGGTTGTTTTTATTTAGAAACAAATATAAAGTCAGTCTGTAAGTGATGTCTATCCATAGTCCTGATAATACTTTTTTCAGAGGGCTGTAAAATTATATGTTTTTGTATTTAGTTGTTCAATAACAGCTACTACATGTATATATTCCTTTTATTTATTTTTACATGCAGCAGGTTTTATTTATTTACTGAGTATATCTTTTCGACTTAATGAAATTGTAAATGTAAACTAAGTTGTTGAGGGTCACATTATAGAGACACAAATACTGGTACTGTATAAAATGGACCTAGCAAATTATAACTTTAAAATATATGTACTCATTTTTACCTTTATTATAACAAAGGTGCTATGATCTAAGTATACATGTAACTACTGACTATGAAAAAAATATGTACAGAACAAATAAATTTCAAATTATACATATGCACTATAAAGTATAAGGGCACATATTAAATCTATGTTTGTTTGTTGTTTAATTTCCCTCTTAAGAATTTTTTTACTCATATGGAGACACCATTATTTGCTGATGACGGACTGCAAATATGCCTATTCTCGGCACTGTGGGCCATTGAGCAGTGATGGATCTTTTTTGTGCAAACAGGACCATGGTTTATACGGTCTCATCTCTCCATGTAACACAGTGGATTTGAACCTTCGACATTAGGTTCAGCTCTTAGATTTGGCGACTGTAGACAGGGCAGACACTCTAACCATTGTGAAATGTGAGCGACTTACATCAAAGTAAAAGTACCAGTCTCATTTTTTTTTTGATTTAAAAAACAAACAATATGAGGCTGATCAGAAATCAGTTATCTTTATCCAGTATCAATGAATGGCCACTTAATCTATCTCTGTGTAGGATCTGGGGAGTCTTTTGGTGAGGGTTGAAATATGATGTTTGTGTTTGTTCAAGTTTTGTTTATTATGATTGTTTTTTTGTAATCTGTTCAAATAAAATGAATGCTTAGTTTGTATTTGCCTTACAATGAATATTACGTTGCACTTAATTACCCTTGATGATCATTTGCAATTGGGACGTTGCTCTTTTAAACAACAACAACGAAATGCAACAGTATGTAACCAGTGTAGACCTACATAACCTAGCTGTGCGATGATTGTCATGTAAAAAGGAATAAATAACAAAATATAACCATAAGCATTCATATCATATACTAATTTCATTTGAATCTAGTGTTTGTGTAAGTGGTAAAGATGATAATACATCCGACAATCTACAAAAATGTCGATTGTAAACACAATGCTTTGTCGTTGTACTATCTTCGTCCTATGGGCATGCTACACTTGGTAATTCTTAGAAGGTTTTCATAAATGTATATTATTTACAAAAAATAATTACCCAAGTTTCAGATAAACCTTTCTCCCGGTTGTGACAGCTCGATTAAGGATCGATTCAGCCCCTCCGTTTAACATGGTTTAGCTCCAAGTTCGAGAACACGTCCATTTGTTTACAATGTTACAAGCGCCGCGGTGATTAAAGCGTTTACGTAACCACCTCTAGTACACCAGCGACACCTGACGTCATAAATATGACGAATGAGTCCTATTTGCAGCCCTTCACCGGCAATGGTGACGTCTCCATATCAGTGAAATATTCTGGAGAGGGACGTTAAACAGTATACGATACGATACTAACCATTCTTGACAGTGGTCTAACAAACAAGAGAGTTGTTTTTTAGAAATAAAATCTGGATCTTTGTGGGAAAAAAGTATAGCAATATATATCATCAGCATATAAAAGTACTTTACATTTTTGGGCCATACAAGTCTGTAAGTCATTGACACACAATAAATATAAGATGCCCAAGCAAACTTCCTTGGAGTACTCGGCATGATACATCACATACTGTAGAATTTGTTTTATTAACATTAACAAGTTGTTTCCTGTTGGACCTATGATTTCAAGCTTTTCGCATTAAATATTACGGATATCAGAGACAAATGTAAAGGTCTCTAATTTTCTGGACTTAATCTATCGCCATTTTTAAAACGTGGCTTAACCCTAGCAATCTTTCAGTCATGTGGAACAATACCTTCTGAGATAGACAATTTTATCAAAAAAGTTGCATACGTTTCGTTGAATATGCAATGGCGTCGGAAGCAAATTGAAAGGGGAGGGGTAGTGATCATGGACAACAAATTTAAAATCCGCAAGAAAACTTGCAAGCCAAAAAAAGAAAAGGGGGATGTGTTTATTGTCCAAACACATTATTCCTATTACCAAGGGTGGAGGATAAATAAGAGGTACCCCCTATTTTAATACCTACTTGGCAACACCATTGTTAAAAAAAGGGGGGCTAATCCTACGCCCCAATGTTCAATGCCTATGTTAAATTGCCCCCCCCCCCCCTCCGGTTACCACGCCCATGATACGTACATTTTCACTTACTAAATTTAAAATATTGTACATGTTCCTGTTCCTTTGCATCGGAAAATATTGTCTTATAAATCAATGTTCATTTCATATTTGCACAAATCGATCACAATGACATCAGTGTTCAAATAATTTTTTGTTTGAATTCGATCGGTTGGCAATGGACTCGCATAGTTGTGAAATCTGCGTCCCGTCTACCATACGGTTAAAGCCCTTTCTATGATGTTTTAACTCCAAGGTGTGTTCTTGAAAATAATCATATTTTTGTCTGCTTCTCTAAGGTTCGAATCCAACTTCGTCGCTCATTGGTTAGAACGTCTGCTCTCGAGTCGCAAAGTAAGGAGTCAATCCGTACGTCGCGGGTTCGAATCCCACTGTGGGACGTGGAGACCGGTTCTTCGGTTGAGACCGTATAAACCGAGGCCCCGTGTCGCAGTAGGTGCTGGCACGAAAAAGATCCCTCACTGCCCAATGGCCCTGAGTGCCGAGTATAAGACAAAATTTGTGGTGGCGTCTCCATACGAGTGAAAAATTCTCAAGAGGGACGTTAAACCATATACAATCATTCTATGTTAATTGTAATAGCAATTGCAAATACAGGATTACCTGTCATGATGTTTTGATCACATATAGCTGGGAAGATCAGACGTGGTAGACTGAATGTTTGACCGACATATTGTGTACGGGGAATTAAGGCAATGGTACTCGGCTCTGGAATGAAAGTCTGGCTGGCTAGCTCTAACTGAAGCACATATATATTAACATACAGGCGCATTAAAATACATTGAAGAGATTAAATGTGCAGAGGTCAATTCAGCATTTACTTCAGTATTGTTTATATCAACCCTGTCTAGAAGATTTTGCTGAATTTAGATTAAGATCTTGGAAGGATGCAGATTGAAACCTTTTCCGATATGCTTTGATTTGATTTCCTGATAAATTTATTTTTGTTCTGTTTGGACTTTTTTTTGTAATAACTACGATTGATGTCAATTAAATGAGTTCATCTTCTATTGATGTCACGTAAATGAGTTCATCTTAAATGTTTTAAATTTTATCTTTATCAATTGAGTTTTCATGAAAAGGTTTATATCAATGCAGTAAATCAAGTCAACGAAATGTCTATTTTCACTCCCAGATATAAAACATATCCCCGGTTCGAATCCCAGTGTTGAATGTTGGGACTAGTCCTTTGGATAAGACTGGATAAACCAAGATCACAAGTCGCAGATGGTGATGGCACGAAAAAGATCCCTCACTGCTCCACTACGTGGGGCAGACCAGATACAGCATATTAACATCTGTGATTGCAAATATACCGAAATCACAGTCGTCCTAACACCAATGCCCCCCCCCCCCGCCCTTACGCTCCCAGTCCAGGCTCGATGAATCGCCTCACATTGTCATTGATGACCTACAGTGTATAGTGTGAGTCGGTGAATGCGTAGGTTGACTTGGATGCCTGTAAGTTAACGTTTTCATGATCGAATAATTTTAGTTATGTGAAAACGAACTCATCACCTGTCGTCGATTTCTCGAAGGTGAGGCCTGTGTTACTATGTGCGATTTGCCAGATGACAACTTTGTCTGGGGTGCCTAACACGTTCCTGACGACGTAATTAAGGTTTCGTTGAAATGCTCAGAACACATACTTTTAACTTTTAAATAGAAAAAAACAATATAACCCGCTTTGATGTTAACTAGAAGCCTAGGTGCTATGACTTTTGCGCCACGAATCAATGCCCCAGCTGCAAACATGTAGCCATCCCCCCCCCTCTTTTTTTTTGGGGGGGGGGGTTGGATGGGGTAGGAGTGGGGGCTACAACTCCTGAGGATCGCCGTAATGGTGCCAGTGATTCACGCATTTCGGCTTAAATTATCAGCAGTGGTATGTAAATTTAATAAACATTTACCAGAAAAATTAGTTATGCAAAACATAAATCAATCTAAACATACACTAAGCAAT